CCTTCCTTCCTTCATTCATTCAGCAAACATGTAAAATGCTGAGCTCTGACTACACACTAAGTGTGTGGGCAGAAGAGAAGAAAACAGACAGGTTCCCTCTGCCTTGCCTGAATTTACAGCCCTCTGAGGAAAGATGGCTTGACAAGATCGCCCAGCACTGGGCCAAGGGAGAGGCAGGGAGAGGGCAACCCCCGTCAAGCCCTTCTGCTACTAGGCCCACAGACAATGGATCAACTAGGAAAGGCCAGCCCAGTGCCCAGCCCAGAGGTGCTAACGGTGGGCCAGCAGCTGCTGGAGGCCCCCAGGCTCAGCACCTGTTCCAGGTGTCCTTCCCAGCTCTTCTCTGGGCCCTGACTCTCCCCCACCCCAGCCTCCCTACCTATCTAGGAAGAAGTTCCATCATACCCCTCACTCAACAAGGTCAAACAAGGTCAAATACCTTGCCAGCACACGGCAAGGTGGCAAAGAGGAAAAGGGTCATTCTCGGGGACGCCTCCAAGGCTCCAGAGATGTTTACGTGCGAAAGGGCCTTCTTGGAGCCTCTCAAATCACTACACAAGGAGACAAGAGGCTCACCCCATCTCATACCTCTAAACCAACCCTCCTGCTACCCTCTGTCGCCCTCCCCAGAACCCAGGGCCATGGTCAACTCTGCTTCCTCCCAGACAGCTTTGGGCAAATATTTACATAGCTCCTCTCAGGGTTTGAGGGATAAATACAGGGAGAGACTCAACACGGAGGAGCCGCCTCCCAACACTGTCCAGGCCCAGGGTACAGTGAGGACAAACAGCACCCGCCAGCCAGGGGCTGCCTCCTAGCGGGAGGGGGGGCAAGGAACTGCACAAGAAGCCCCACCCCCACCCCCAGCAGACCAAGGCAGGAAAGTGGGGGTAGATGGCTGACTCAAAGCTGGCCCGGGACACCTCGAACGGCCCATGCCCACCCCTGCAGGCATCCTCACCCCCATCTTAGGCTATTCATGTCAAGCAGATATGCACCAACCTCTGAACCCTGTCTTCCTGGCCCCAAGGCTTCCCCTTAGGAGAAAAGCTTTCTTCTTACCCATTCAGATCAACCAGGACCTGGGGGGCAAAGGCCCCAGCAGCAGTGACAAGCAGGGTCTCTTGCTTAAAGGGACAGGGAGGAGTAGGGAAGGTGAGGAAAGGTCCACAGAGACAGCGGGATGGCACAGATGGTACCGAGGAAGGAGGGAGCCCAGAGGCATATGGCTGACACCAGCAGGGCCCTCATGAGTACCTGGGGGGCCCAGTCTCAGTCAGATGCCAGCAGCCCAGTGCGGGGAGGGGGGGGAGGCACAGCATACTGGGGAACAGGTCTGGCCCTCAAGTCCCTGCCCTTCCCCCAACTGCGGCATCAGCTGTTGGGGGGGGGGGCTCTGACCTTGTTGCCATGGCAACGGGCCTGCAGCTGGAATGGAGAAGCTGATAGACTCTTCTCCAGAGACACCCCGATCCCCACCCACACACAGGCTCCAGGGGACACAGGGACATGGAGATAGGTCCAGGACAGTCCGTGGGTATTGGGGAGATGGACAGAACCTATGAGACAGAGGCCCACCGAACACAGAGTAAGAGCAGAGGGGGAGGAAGGCAAGAGGAAGGAAGAGAACAGACAGAAAGAGGTAAAGACAAAGGGCCAGAGAGGGTCAGACAGGCTGGAGGCAAGGCAGGGAGGCCCAAGTTGGAAGGGGGGGGAGTGTTCTATGCCAAGACTACACGTCACAGCAGGCAGGCAGAGCACCACAGAGCATAGCATGGGGAGGCAACAGAGAGCTAGAACAAAGAGTAGAGAACAGAAGGGACAGAGAGCGGGACCTCTGAACCACACCCTGGCCCCGGCACTGTGGGGGCACAGGTGTGCATCCAGCCAGCACCTGCTGCTGGAGGGGCCATGGCTGGGATGTTCCCACCGGCCAACCCCGCACCGGGGGGCTCCTTCTCAATTCCCTTTAATCCTGGGTCTGACTGTCAGGGGCCAGTGAAGCCCCAGCACACTGTGTCTTCCTCCACCCACACTCCCCAATCTAGCCCCTCCACTTCCCAGCAGTACCAGCAACTAAATGATGGGGCTGTCTGGCTCCAGACCCTGAGACTGCACAGAGCTAGGCCAGAGGCACCGACACAGCCCAGCTGTCCTTGGTTGCTCCTGCCAGCAAAAGGCCCTGCCTCCCCCGCAGCCACCCGCCTCCCCGGGGCTACAGCCAGGGACCCACTCCCCCAGGGCTGGCCTAGCCAGGCACCCCACAGGAAAGCCTGGACAGCCAGGCGCTGGTGGCTCACGCCCGTAATCCTAGCTACTCAGGAGGCTGAGATCTGAGAATCACAGTTCCAAGCCGGCCTGGGCAGGAAAGTCCATGAGACTCTTATCTCCAATGAACCACCTGAAAACTGGAAGTGGCACTGTGGCTCAAGTGGTAGAGCGCTTGCCTTGAGCTGAAGAGCTGAGGGACAGCGCCCAGGCCCAGAGTTCAGGCCCCACAACTGATAAAAAAGAAAGAAAGAAAAGAAAGAAAGAAAGAAAGAAAGAAAGCCTGGACAGAAACAGGAGAGGGCACTGGCATGCCTCCTCTTCCTCTCCCTCTGGCCCTTGCAGCACACACACACACACACAGCCCAGGTCAAGCCACAGGCTGACACCAAGGACTACTGCATAGCTCAGGAAGGGAAGGTTGAGGAAATTTGCCTACATTACCACAGGACTTTGGAGCCAGGGTCAGAGGGGCCCCAGGTGGCGGAAGGCCAAGCTATGTGGCCAATGGGAGTTAGCTGATCCCCATGGAAACTTGGTGAGAGCACGGAAGGAGACAGAGGGCAGCGCGCTGGCATAGAGCTTCTGGCTCGCTGCCCCATCTGGAGTAGTAACCCACTCCTCAGAGCTTGAACTTGGGAGGGAACCTGGGTTCTAGGCCCACCCTCTCTTGATGCCCCCCAGCTTCTCCATCTATAACCCCAGTGGGCTGAATTAAGTGACCCTCTAGATCACCAAGATTCTGGGAGAGCTGCTCGAAGAAGGGGTTTCCTGGCCATCCTCTCCCAAAGGAGTGGGCCTGAACCAAGAAGGAGGGCCCAGGGCTGGGAAGGTGGCTCAGTGGTAGAGCGCTTGTCTTGCATGCCTGAGGTCCTGGGTTCGATTCCTCAGCACCACATAGGCAGGAAAAAAAAAGCCGGAAGTGGCGCTGTGGCTCAAGTGGTAGAGCGCTAGCCTTTGAGCTGAAGAGCTGGGGGACAGTGCCCAGGCCCAGAGTTCAGGCCCAGGACTGGACCCAAAAAATAAAAATAAAAGAAGGAGGGCCCACTCACCTAGGAGGGTCCCATACATGCTACCACTGAAGGCAAGGGCACCTGCACCCTTTCTGCCAAAGCACTAGATCCACCAGCACCATCCACTGCAGGGCTAGAACAAGGTTTTACAGAGGAAGGATCTGTTGTGGGCACTTCCTCAAAAGCTCAGCACAAGGCCAGGTATGGTGGCACATGCTTATAAACCCAGCACTGGGGATACAAAGGCAGAAGCAGGAAGGTGGAAAGTTCAAAGCAAGCCTGAGCTACATGATAAGACTTTCTCAAAACAACCAAAAAACTTCAAACATCAACACTTTTCTCAGGTCCCAAGTAAGTACATTATCCCAGAAAGCCAACCAACTTGACCGGTGTTCTCTAATTTCTTTCATTATTTCTGAGCCGAGGACTTAGGTGCTCCTATTTGTTTTATGATACCAGTGGTTTGGAAACTTTTAAAAATCTAATCTCACATGAAGTAACATGCAACATGAGACAGACCTAGAACACTCTGGTGTGATTTTCAAAATATGCCAGACAGCAGAACAGAAGGCTCTTGTCAGACAGACATGGACTTTATTCCCAGCCTGGGTGACTTTGAAAACTTCCTTAATTTCTCTGAACTGCAATGTCCTTGTCCATAAAATGAAGGTTTAAAAGAAGGCCACTAATACCTCTCAGGGCTGTTGTGAACACTGCACTAGATACTAGTCACCCAGTGTCCAGCAGGCACTAACTATGCACTATTTCAGAGTATGCACCCAGCCTTGCCTGCCCCTGAGATAGAACCCCAATTTGCTGCAAGCAGACGCTCTCCCCTAAGGCCCCAGTGACCATGTCCCCCAAATGCTGTCCTGTAACACCACGGCCTGCACACCTTGAGAAGCCCAACTATTACATGGCCCTCTCAGCCACCCTGGAGTATGCGTGGCAGGGGGCCTAGGACTCGCTGTCTCTGCTTACCCCAGCAGGAAGCAGAGTTCACTCCCTGAGGACAGTAATCTGTCCTGTAGTCTGTTCCACGTCCAAGAGCCCAGTTCTGAGGTCTCACAGGGGTACAGTAAATGCTAATCGGACATGCCCTGGGCTGACAGCCCACCTGGGCTCTGGAGCCCCCTTCGCGGCCCTCTGGTGCCCACAGGCCCTAAGCCTGAGATCACTGACTTCCAGAGCAGAACCTATCCCGAAGGGGCAGGCGTGGTGTGGGAGCTGGCAGCGGCCGGCTCTGTTTATTCACTCTCCGGAAGCCCAGAGCAGCTGGGCTGGGAGGCGGTGGCTGAGCAGAGACACCTGGTGCAGGAGCTGGTGGTGGCGAGGCGGGTGCTCACCAGAAAAAACAAAAGGACAAAGGGAGCTGAAGTGGTGGGAAGAGGCACTCCAGCCCGCAGGTACGAATGGAAGCGCAAAGGGCCACGAGAAGGCCAGCAGCTGTCCACCCTCTGCCTGAACCAATCACCTGGTTAGGGGTTACCCTAGGGGAGCTAGAGTCGAGGGGTCAGGCGGAGGTCAGCACCAACCTGACCTGTTACTTCCAACCACTTCCGCAGCTCGCAGAGCCTTCAATTGCAGCCCACCCAGCGCAGCCTGCTCACACCTGCCTAAGCGGAGGGGGCCCTGGCAGCCCCCAGCCACCGGAAGGGCCACCCCCCAGCCTAGACGGCCCCGCCCCTCCGCGGCCCCGCCCCCCGCGGCCCCGCCTACCATCTTTCCGGTAGAAGGCGATCTCCACTTTGCGCTCCTCGGCGCCCAGGAGGGCCTGCGCGATTTGCGCGGCGGCGCGGCGCTGCGTGCGCGGCCCGTGCAGGAAGTCGCAGGTGCAGGGCCGCTGCATCACCTCGGCCCGCGAGTAGCCGCACAGCTCGCAGAAGCCGTCGTTGCAGTAGATGACGGCGCAGTTCTCCACCCGAGCGTTCGCGATGATGAACTTGCGGCCTGGGAGGGGGAGGGGAGGCGGGGAAGAGCGAGCACGTGAGCGGGGACCCCCAGGCTCGGGGACTCCCAGACCTTCCCACGTCCTGTCGTCACACACTTTCTGCAGCAAGGGATCAAAAGTGGGGCCTGGGCTCCCCGGCCGGGGCGAACGCGGCTGTGCCCCGACACAGGTGCCTGGACCGGGCCGGGCCTGGACCGGGCAGGGCCTGGCGGCACGCCCCCGCCCGCGAGCTGGCTGCGTGGCTTCCCCCGGGCAGGGCGCCAGCGGCCCGCCGCCCCCTCCCTCCGCGCCCGGGGCCCGAGGCCAGCATGGGCGGGTGTCAGCAACGCGTGTCAGCGGCCGCGGCGGAGGGATAAACACTGGGCCTGGAAAGGGAGCCTGGGAAGGGCCAGAGATGGCGGCCAGCCTTCCCTTTGCGTGGCTCCTCTGGCTTATCTCTCTTGATGCCTGCTCGCAGGGCACTTCCTAGAAAACCATTCCCCCAGGTACGAGCAGGCCCGGTTGGGTCAGTACCTGCTAAAGCTTCCACGCCCCATCCACTGGCAGCCAGGGGCTGGGACGGGTACGCCCGGAGGATGAGAGGTAACTGCCAGGCACCTATTATTACACTTTATCTCTGGATGTTGGGCACCAGGGGAGGTCGATGTTCATCCTCTTGTTAGAGAGGAAGAAACAGGCCCAAGGGAAGTTCAGCAATGTGGCCACGTCTTGGAGCTCACAAACGGCAGCGCTAGCTTTTGAACGTTGTCTTGCAGGAAGCAGAGGAATAACCCGGCTTACCAGCCAAAGCCCAAGGTCACGGGGAGCAAGGAAAATGATCTGTGGCACCCAACCTTGGAAACCCCTAGGACTCAGGGATGGGCCTGAGACACTGGCCCATTTGCAAGAACACATATGCAGGAGTATGAACCTTCTCCAGGGGTGTGCGGCCTCCTCTACGGCCCCATCAGGCAGGGAAGACCCCAATGGACCCCATTCAGCTACACTCACCCCAGGCCTGCCCCAAGATCCAGGCCAGTAGGTGAGCAGCAGGCCAGCCTCAGCTGGTGCTCCAGGGATAAGAGCTTTCTAGAAAGAGAAGTTCCAGCCACTTTAGCCTTGAAAGCTGGAGCTTTGGAGAAGTTGTTGGACTGACTCTCTCCTCCCCTCCCCAGCTGGCACTGCTCTGAGGCTGTACAACCAGTAGAGCTAGGCCCACGCTGCCACAGCGGGCACCCCTTGAGACGGGCAGCCATCAGACATATCTGTCCTCCTCCTGTCTTCCTCTATCATTCTTCCTCCTGGCTTCAAAGAAGTTAACCTTTTGGCATTGGGTCATCTTTACGTCTGTTCTTAAAGGTCCCCCCAAAAAGAAACTTGCTCCAGACAGGCATCAACCCCAGGTCTGGGCTGGGGTTGTAAAGGCCCTTGAATTCTGACTCATCTCCACCTCAGCCCAAGACAGTTCAGAGCACTGGCCACCCATGGGAGAAAAGCCACCCCTTGTCCTACTTCTAGGCCTGGAAGAGAAGAGCACATTTCTTCGAAGGCAAGGCCCACTCCACCCCTCCTTACTAAGATCCTGGAATACCAGGACAAAAGGGACTTAGAAAGCCCTTGTGCACTTTCTCCTCCACCTCCTCCTCCTCCTCCTCCTCCTCCTCCACAGAGGGGGAAACTTAGGCTCAGAGATGAGTCACTCAAGGTCACCAAGCAGTCAGTAGCAAAGGTGGGGCCAGAAGCCAAGCTTCCCCAATCCCCTCCTAGATCTTTCCCAGGTACTTCCAGAGCCTACTCAGCCACCACAACTTGTGGGAAGGAGAGCCCAGGACCCGCTCCCAGCAACCAGTATCACAGTCTCCACCCTGTCTAATCATCCCGTTCCGGGGCCAGAGACAATGTTGACCCCTCCCCCCACCACAGCACGGGGGAGCACACGTTGTCCAGTGTGCACCAGGTCATGGGCAAGGAATGTCACCCTCTCCCTGGGCCCTTGGCAGTTGCACCTACTGTGGCACATACAGCCTTGGGGAAGAGGCACATGAATGCCCAGAACATTCACCTAGCTTGGGACACTTCTAGAAGCCGCTGCTGCCAGACTGTCATTAGGGGTGCTGTAAGGTTCCTCTAAGGAGGTTTGAGGAGAGTGCCCAGGACCATCAAATCCACAATGCGGGACACCACAGCCAGCCGGGAAGCCTCAAAGGGCCTGAGGACACCCTCTCAGCACAGGACCCACAATCAGGAGCCTTGTCAAAGACACCTCCCCCTGCCCACACAGGATCAAATTCATGACCCCAGGACCCGGGTCACTTTCCTACACTCGAGGCACAGAGCCTACATACATCCTTGGCTTTCCGTCTCTCACGACACAGTCCAGATGGTGACTCTATACTTTCAGGGCATTTACATTCTCCTGTCCTTGTGTGCGTGTGCACACACACACACACACACACACACACACACAGAGTCGCTTAAACTTCAAGCACTCAGAGTTGGGGACACCTGCAGACTCCCATCCTACCTCCCTTCCCGGCACACTCGGGGTGTCGCACAAACTCTGCATCCCAAAAGTCGGAGCTGAGCCCCCGAAGCCCCAACACCACGCATCTGGGTCCCGCGGGCAACCGAGCCTCGCCCCCCGCCCGCCCCCCGCCCCCGGCCTCGGGCCCGAGCCGCCGGGCCCGGCAGCCCCCCACCGGCCGGCGCCGGGCGCGGCGCACGGCCCGGGCACGCCCCTCCAGACACACTCCCGGCAAAGCCCGACCCGCCCCCCGACCCCCGCCCCGCGCCGCCCCTCCCCCACTCACTCTGGCCCTCAAACTTGCGGATGATGGTGTCCAGGAAGGTGTTCTGCGGCGCGACGTGGCCCCTCCGCACCGGCATCCTGAGCCCATGGGCGGGCCGGACTGGCCCCCACCCCGGCCCGGCCCGGCCCGGCTCTAGGCTTCGGGTGGCCTGGCCGGGCCGTGGTCCCCGCACCCCGCGGCCAAGCTGAGCCCGGGCGCGGCCGGGACTGGACTGCGGGGCCCGGGGCTTGCCCGCTCCGCGCCCCGCCCCCTCCCCTCGGCTCGCCGGCTCCGGACCGCGGCCCGGGCCTGGAGCTGCCGGAGCTCGAGGCGCCCGGCCGCCCGCACACCTGTCCGCGGGTCCCCCGCGGAGCCACGGGCCCCGTTCCGCCGCGTCTCCGCGCTGCGCTCCGCCCGCCCCAGCGCCCGACTCCCGGCTCTCGCCCGTCCGCTCGCCGCCGCCGCGCCGACAGCCGCTCCGGCGCCCGCGGCTCGGGCAGCGCCTGCGGCTCGGCCCGGCCGCGGAAGGGTTAATGCGGCGCGCGCCCCTCGGGCTCCGGCCCCCGCCTCCCGGCCCCCTCCCGCCCGCCCGCCCGCCGCGCGCCCGCCGCCCCGCCCTCCCCCCCCACCCGAGCGCCCGCCCTTCCCATTGGCTGAGCCGCCCGAGCGCTCCCCCAACCCCAGCCCCCGGCTCCGCGGCGGAGCCCCCGGGACTCGCGCGTCCGGGAGGGGGAAGGGACCTCGGCTGGGGGAGCCGCGGGGACAGGTGCGGCTGCCGGCCCGGGGGGCGGCGCGGAGACCGGGTCGGGGGGGACCGAGAACCCCGGCCGGGGGGCGGAGGGTCCGGTCCCTGGTGCCCGGCTTCCCCACGGCGCCCCGGAGCACCCGGGCGCCCTCAGCGCGCACTCTGAACCTGCGGTGGGAGGCCGGGGCGAGGCCTGGGCCCCGGAAGACCAGCCAGGCCCGGCGCGGGCCCGGCCCTGGGAAGGGCAGGACGATGTGGAGGCCCCAGGCCAGCCGATGTCTGAGAGAGGCGTGGGGGAGCCCTCGAGGGCACACCCCCGTCTCACACTCGCAGCCCTCTCTGGTTATTCACGCCCGTGGATGCGTGGCACGCCTAGAGACACATCCGAACCAGAGTTGCGGCCTCCTAGCTGCGGGGTCAGGGAGAGGCCCCTGAGCTCCAGGTTTCACCCGGGGGATGCCGGCGTGCGAGCCGCCTGCCACCCTCCCTCCTGCAGGCCCAACGGACGGGCTTGGGGCCCAGCGGCGGCCCGGCCCCTCGGTAAACCCAGGCCTAGCCGCAGGCCCCTCCCCCCGCCAGCTGGCTCGCTCCAGCTGCAGCTCCCTTATTTAGGCAAGGAGGTCTGAGGATGCTCAAGGGCAGGCAGAGTGTCTGCCCGCCGCCTGCCCATCGCCGGCCGACCGCCTGCCCGGGTCTGAGTGAGGGTCTTCGGGTCTGAACAGCCCAGGCAGGGCCTGGCTTAGGCAGGCCAGGGCGGGTGGCGAGTGCTGACAGCTGAGCAGGCCGGTGAGAGGGGAGGAGTCGGCAGCTGGGCCCGCTGCAGGTCCCCTCCCCAGCCAGCAGCCCGGATCAGAGGCCTGTCTGGATGGATGGGGCCATGTGGGGGCTCCTGAGGCCTTGCAGCTGCCTCTGTCCTTGGGAGCAAGGGGGGCTGGGTCTTGTCACCAGGGAGAACCAACGTGGGAATCTAGGGGGAGGGGAGGAACAAAGGACAAAAGAGGAAAGCAGTCTGGCAAGGAGGGAGGCAAGGCACTGGGAGACCCCCCTCCCCGGGCTCTCGCTTCCCACCCAGGAGCAAAGAGATGCAGACATTAGGGCCAAATAGGGCCACTGGCCAGCAGATGACACTCTTTTTTATTTGCTGGTGGGTGGGCAGTGAGTCAGGGAGGCTGCCGGTGGGGGAGAAGGAGGTGGCTCCACCAGCTGATGCTAAAAAAGTCCAGAGGCTCCCGCCTGCACAGTCATCGCCCAGGCCCCCTCCACCTTCCACAGCTCCTTCAGGGACACTCGAGATGCCCAGGGCCTTCCAGGCACTGGCTCCCCCCACCTCTTGTGACCTGGCATCAGGGACCTCAGTACTTCCGAGTTCATGACTGGCACAGCCCCCGCCCTGGGCCTCGGCCACAGCCACCCCACACCGCAGGGCTTGCTTGCCGCTGTGTGAGTGGACAGTCCTCCCTTCAGGTGAGGATCTGAGAGAAAAGAAAGGCTAAAATGCCTATAGAGTGAAAGAGAAGGGGAAAGGACATGTGTCAGTTCTTCCCAGACCGAGAGGGTGGGAATCTTGAACCCACAGGGAAGGGCTTTACATCCGGCCTGGCCAGCTGCCCCCAGCATAGGAAGCCACATGCCTAGAGCAGGTGTCTTCTCAGCCCAGAGGGAAGACCCAGGAGTTGAGGAACCCTTCCCCTCCCAATAAGACCAGGCAGCAGAGTAACTCTCCTCTAGAGAGAGAGAGCTAGAAGTCTGTCTCTCTGTCTCTGCCTCTGATCTCAAATGGAGATTTCTGACTTCTTTAGAAGCTCAGAGGAGAGCCTGAAGGCAGTCCCACCATCCGCCCCCACAGCCACGGACTGAAACAAGTTCCACTGTGATGTGAAACGGACACACTTCCCCCAAGGCATCCTCCCTGGGCTCTAAGCACAAGCTGGTAGATGAGGAAGCTTTACCATTACCAAGTACCAACCAACATTACCTACCCCCCAGATCCAAGGACAGAAAAGTGCCCAAACCCATGCCAAGGGCTTCTAGAATCGTCCCACCCCCACGGCAGGTCCCAAGAGCCTTTGTCAGGAATCGTTCCTGGGAAGAGCTCTCCCTCACCCTGCCTGTGACTGAGGGAAGGGAGAGGCTGTATTTACAGTGAGACATATAGGCTCCTCCCAGCTCCTTGAAAGAGACGATTTAGGGAGAAGAGTCTGCAGAAAACATCCTGCTCACCCCACTCTCTGCTCCTGTTCAGTCTGAGGGAGTCAAGCCAGGACTTCCTGGGAGGAAAGAAGTAATTGAAGCCTACCTCTGCTGCTAGGGCCCCCAAGGATCAGACCAGGCCAGACACAGCAAAAAATCAGGCTCAGGAGAGCAAGTAACACTCACAAGGGACTAGAAAGCAGTTCCACGCAGACAGGCACAGGAGAGACAGCTTCGGGAGCAAGGGCTCCTTGGAAGCCCCAAGGGAGTAAGGGCATGATAGTGGAAGCTCAGACTGCAAGGGAGACTGGGGACAGGCTTGGAAGGGGGGCTTTGTTCTGTGCCATCGAGTTTCAAAGTGAGATGTTTTCAGATATGAACTAGAGTTGGAGGAGAAGAGAAGCTGGAAGCAGGTGCTCAGGACTCACTGAGAGCAAGACAGAAAGAGAGATAGGGTGACTAAAGGACCCAGCTCAACCCCACAGCCCAAAGCCAGAGTTTCCTTCATTCACTGGCTCCACGTGCAGTCCTCCAGCCAACTCCTGCCCATGCCAAGGTCTTTTCCCTCTCCCCCGTTGATGGGACATGCTTCTGGCTTGTGAGGTCAGAAGTCAGCAAGGTACTAGAGATTGACATTGAGGACACCTAGCTTCTGATTCCAGTTCTGCTACTTGTCATGTCAACAAATGTTTCTTGGGGACTTTGTGGGGGGGGGGTTGCTGGTGCCAAATGCTGTGGGGTACAGGAGGGATAAGCCAGACTCCCTCCTCCGGGGATTCACAGTCTAGTGAGATTTGAGACAGGCGGTAGGCAGACAAGAACTATGCAGTCAACTGGGGGAGTCTGGAAGGGCTGGGGGAGGGGCAGCGACTTCAGCAGAAGATTAAAGGCCAGCAGAAGCATTCCACGGACAGCATGAGTGAATGGAGGCCAGGGGTATGGACAAAACAGGTGCGGTGAAGTGGACCCGTAGGTTGGCAGAACTGGCAGAGGGCTGAGGGCTCGGAATTTTTGTCTGTATGCAAGGGAGACACCCTGCAGCAAGAATGCTTTGTCCACGAATGTAGAAATCGCATTTGCTTTTGTCCAGACAGGCCTAGGGTAGAAGTCCAATAATTATCTTTTGGTGAATTAATAAAACTAAGGATGTAATTTAGTTAACTACTGCTGCCTAAGAGCCTTCCCCAAACCCAGTCTTAAATCAGTGACAGGGTTTATTTTGCTCATGGACCCGCCATTGGGGCAGGTTCAGCCGGGACCACTTGTCTCTGCCTATCTCCAGGTGCAGGACTGGAAAGCTCATTCCTCATGCTTGATGGTTAATGCTAGCTGTCCCTGGGACCTCGGCTCAGACCAGGGTTAGACATCCACATTGAAGCCATTTGGGCATGGTTGCTTAGCTGCTGAGTTTCAAAGACAAATGTCTTGTGACAAGACCAGGCAGCATCTGAAGGACCATCAGTAATTTAACCTTGAAATGTCACACAAAAGAACTTCTGCGGGGCTGGGAAGGTGGCTCAGTGGTAGAGTGCTTGCCTTGCATGCCTGAGGCCCTGGGTTCGATTCCTCAGCACCACATAAGCAAAAAGAAAAAAGCCAGAAGTAGCGCTGTGGCTCAAGTGGTAGAGCATTAGCCTTGAGCTGAAGAGCTGAGGGATAGCGCCCAGGCCCAGAGTTCAAGCACCATGACCGGACCCCCCCCCCCAAGAAAAAAGAACTTCTGCCATAGTCATGTCCCATTAGGTATGGAGACAAGACATAGACCCCATCTCTCAATGGAGGAATATCATGTTGTATAGGGGGAAAGCATTGCAAGGCAAACAATATCATGGTCCTTCTTTTGTATTTATTTTAGACTAAAACTAAATGGAAAAGAAGACCATTAAGGACATGGGAGAAGGCCTTGATCAGTCCCCCACAGACCTATTGTGTCACCCCTGCAGGGTCTACTGGCAATAGGCAAACTATGAGCTGATCTCAGCTTCCAAGAAATTCATCTAACTGAGGAAAGAAGACAGATAGGCAGGAATGTCATGAAAACCTTCTGGTGCTACTGATGCTATGTGGAGGGAAGCTCACTGGGGTAGCTTCAAAGGACTGAAAAAAAAATAAGAAACAAGCCAGGCTTTTAGCCATCCTGTTAGGGAGATGCCCTGGAGGAGATCTCAAGTTCTCTTGGCAGCTTTGTCCTTCTAGCCGGCTGGAAATTTGTCTCTGTCCAAGGTGCTGAAATCGCTAGATGCCAGGCTGGGCAGGAAAGCAGGAAAGGCAACACAGGTGACCAAGAAAGAGGCCCTCTTCAGGACATAGTGAACTATACAGCCACTGCTAAGCCATGAAAATGCTTCTGGAACTGGACAGTAGCCCCGAAAGCAGCATCCAGCGGGACCGTTAATGATGAGAAGCCCAGACCTCCTGTGCCTTCTTCCCTCATTCTCCCAGCTGGTCAGGAAACAATGCGATCTCACCTCTGAGTTTTTCATCTGAAGTTATCTGAGTTTC